AACAAAAAAAGGAGAAGGAAGGAAAAAAAAGGGGAGGAAACTTTCCTCCTCCCGCCATGGGAACGAAAGCTCGGACCATCGTGGAGACTTTCACAGAGACAAACTTGCACCTCGCAAAGGTGCGCTCAACCCAATGCACTATTTTACTGTTCTTTTTTTAAATTTTTGTTTCTGTGTCTTGGTGTTCTTATTTTGATTGCTACTTTTATTTGGCCTCTGTGCGTGTGTGCGTGTGCGTCTGTTTCTATTTGTGTGATTTAACGACTAAGCTAATGATATTATTGTTTTGTGTGGCTAGGGCTGAGAGTGGCAACTATCAATCAGAGGGGGGGAGGGGGAGGGGGGTACAATTGACGTTGGGACCTCCTCCTTCACCCCGACCTTCGCAGGCGTGTGCGTCTGCCTTGAGGTTTCTGCTACGATGACTCTACTTTCTTTGTTGTTTTTTTCGTTTCACTTCTTCCTTACGTTCTTTCTTTTTGGCTTCTTTTTTTTAGGTGCAGTTCTCGTTTCCGTGATGGCGCGGCATCTGCCACATGCGTGAGTTTGCAGGTAGGGGGTGCCTGCCTCTTGCTGCAAAAGGGGGGATGTGGCCGATGCGGGCGTTGCTGTGGGGGGGAGGGGGGGCCTCCTGCACGTGACGCTTCGTTGATTATCTGGCGAACAGTGAACGTCGGAGTTCATCTTGTTGCTGCACTGGAGGATACCGCGGTGGTGATGCGCCTCACCGCATGTGTTGGGACGCGCATTACCGTGAAGCGAGGGGAGGCCCGCTTGTCTCTGCATTTTCTGGAGAGGGGCGTAAGGGCTCATTTGGCTTAAATTTATTACAGGTGGAGAGGAAGGGTTTGTGTGGCGTGACGCGGGCACGCTGTCCCGCACTTCCTTTTCACGGCTTATTCCCTTCCCTTCTTTCGGAACCGCGCAGAGGTGTGGGCGGCAGACACAGGCGCGGGGTGCACAGGGAAGGCAAATACGCCCTGTTGTAGTGAATGGAAGAGGAGGGTTTGAGTGGTATTGTGTGTGTGGCCTTCTGCGGCGACTAATGCTTTGCGGGGGCCTTTGAGCACTGCACCGGCGTTTGCTGCCGCTTCACAGAAAGCGTGCGTCATGTAGGCCTATCATCGTTGCTTATCACCATTGTGGCGGTCTGCGGCGCCGTCGCAGCTGCCGTTGTTTCCGTCTGTGATCTTTCTGCCAGTTGTCGGCGTAAAAAAAAAAGTTGTTTTTTCACCCCCGGACGACGCCGGCTCCCCGGCAGAGGCCGTTGAAGCGGGGAACGGCGCGACACCTCCCGCATTGTCGCCGGGAACAGTTGCCGCGCCGCCCGAACCACAGCAGTGACGCCTACGCGCGTGTGTTGTCTGGTCTCATCGCCGGGAACGCTCGTCGTGGCAGCTGTGTGTGTCCCATTGCTGGTTTTTTCTATCCACCTTCACAAACGCTGATGTGGATTCAGAAGAAGATGGTGTGTGTGTTTTTTTTTTGCCTTGGTGCTGTTCTCACGACGCGCCTGCGGCTGGAAAACCGCGGTGTCCCGTGCGTCTCCCTCCGGGGCAACTACTTGAGGGGCCGCGCTTGGATGTGTCAGGGCCCTTCATGTCTCAGTGTCTACCTCTTCTTTTCCTTGCCGCCACGCAGCGGTGGGCCCAGTGTGAGGAAGGGAGGGAGGAGGGAGAAGCCGGAAAACAAAAGAATACATGAGAAACGGCAACGCCAATAAACAAGTTGTGGGATTCACTATATATATAGTTGCTGTCTCCACGCATTCACTGCGGACGGGGCACTCGAAGAGGAGCACAGGGGGGCCTAAGCACGAGAACGAGAGAGTAAAGTTAGCATGAGCTCCAAGTATGATCGTGTGAAGGTGCGGGTGCATCTTGGTGCTGACCACTACTACACGCTGTCACGCTTTATGCTCTCAAAGATGTTGACCTTCTGCAAGCTCCCAACCACCGTGGCGGTAAAGGTGAGCCTAGAGGTGAAGAAGCGCTTCGTTGATGAGGAGCGGCTCGAGATAGCGCAGGTGGAGCTTGAGGCGGCGACGTTTCTTATCATGGCACAGTACGGTTATGGTGAGGCACACGCAAAACTCTTTCCCGTGATGACACGCTTCTATGTTGAGCGTGTCCCTCTCGTTGTTTTCATCGCAGGCAGCGGCTACTGTGGAAAAACCGCCATTGCACACAGTTTGGGACTCGAAGCTCAATACACACAATGTTGTTAGCACAGATGTGCTGTTGGAAATACTCACCTCTGTCCATAACGGGTTTCCCCCAGAGTCTGTCTGCACCGGAAAGGATGTGGGTGGGCAAGTTTCTTGGCCGCAGCCCGACGAAGAGTTCCTCTGGCTCTATAAGGCCAATACGGAAGAGGAGTTTGTCTCCGCGTGGTGTGCGTGGTCGGAAGCGATACGCCCGCTTGTCGAGGAAGAGGTCAATAAGGCCATAACAGAGGGCAGAGTTCTTATTCTGGAAGGGTGTCTTCTTAACCTTGCCGCGTATAGGGTGTATCTTCTGCGGCAATTTCAGCGACGTCATGGCGCCATTGTCATTGCTTTTTACGTCACCTCGCACGATGACTCACGTCGCTTTTCCGTCGAGCGATTTCTTTCTTCCTTTCACGCCCTTCTCCCGGCGTCCTACCGGGGCAACCAGCCCGCCGCGGTGGCGTGGATGATGCGGCGTGTGGCGGCTGTGGAGGCGGTTCAAGCTCGGTGGTTCGGTGGCAATAACAATACTAGTGGAGCTGGTGGCGTTGGTGGCATGCGGCGGTGTTGGATTGCCGACAAACAGCACGGTGGCACCGCGTCGGCCGCACGCGCCGCAGACGACGAAACTGAAGTGTGCGCTACTGGAGGTGAGACGAGTCTACCGCCGTCGGCCTCAGCACTGGGCGCCGAGTCGGTGGAGGGAGCCGAGGAAACCGTCCAGGTGCATTGTGCCACGTTCTCCGTGGAGGCACCGTCGGGGCCCGCCGAAGTGATGCAGGACCTCGTGCTAGAGAGAATAATGTCGGAGCTCCGCCAACGGCACTCCCTGGTGTAGTGAAGGCCGCACAAAAGGAAGTGAAACGGTGTAAAGGCGAAGCAGCTACGCCTGGAAGGGAGTACGCGAATGACACATGCTTGCGGACCGAAGAAGAAGACAAAGACTTTTGTTTTTGTGCTGAAATGCCCTATTTCTGTTACACTTTAAAAAGTTGGCTTGTTACGGAGTGCGCGTAGAAGTTACTTCCTTTGTTTGCATTTAGTTTGCTGTGCTTTCTCTTTCCCTTGAATTCCTTTTAGCAGACTCGCCCTTCCTTCACTCCGCATGCACGCAGCCTGCCTCTCGTGCCACATGTGCAGCCGCCCTTAGGTCCTTCGCGGCTGTTCTTTTTTTCACCGTTGAAGTTATTCAGGGCCGGCGAGACCTTCCTACTTGATGTCCTGCGTTGTCTCTTTGTTTGTCCTCCCCCGATTTGCGTGATTCCGCCTTGTCGTGCCCGCAGGATGATGCGTAAAGTGAGGGGAGAGAGTCGTTCGCTCCCTTCGCGGTGTTGCTTCCCTCCCTTCCCCTCTTCCGTGGCTCACGGGGCATCACATCCATTTTTTGTGCTCCACGCTCATATAAGTACACGGGCACACACCTTCGTGCATGCACTCGCACTTATTTCATGCGGATGGCCCGTCTTTATTATTTACTGTGGCCGCACTTGCAAGACTTCCCAGGTTCTCGCTCTCTTTCTGTGTGTGTGTGTGTGTGTTGTGCTTGTGCCATTCCTCCCTCTACTCACTTTCCCCTCGTGCCGTTGCGGGTAATAATAATACTAAAATTAATATTAATATTAACGCATGGTGGGGGATCATTCCATGTTTATGTGGCTCTTTTGTGTGACTGTGTCAGTTTCTCTGTTGCATATGCTTTTTCTCGGCTTTATTTTTTGCTGGTGTGTGTTTGGGAACAGATGCGCCGAACCCTGAGGTTTGGGGCGGGGTTCCTGCAGAACTTGAACGCCGGCAAGAACGGTTTCTTCACCTCACTATGGAATAAGCCGCAGACTCGTGACGAGCGCATAAAGGAGTATGTGCCGGAGGTCATTGCGGAAAGTTTGGAAGAGCAGCGAGCCGTCTTGGAAGAGAGCACCTCGCGTGACGTTATAGTGGAACTGGGCCACAAGGTGCTTCGGGAAATTGAAAACAAGAGCCCCACGCCCAGTATAGCTCCCCACCTGAACAAGATTCTGCAAGAGTATGGCTCAAAGGACCTTATCGCTCAACGACCGCTTAGTTACCTGCTGTACCCGAGTTCCACGCTAAGTGGGGGGCAGCAGCCGAATGAGCTTGTGGCCAACTTCACAGACAACTTCCGAGAGCTTGTCGAGGAAGTGGAGAGACACGGATGCTCGGCGCGAGTCAAACCTACTAATAGAGATAAAAAAGATAAGGATACAACTAAGCAGGAGGGGGGAGAAGAGGCCCCTCATGACGCTAGCAACGCTAATATGAACGGAAAAAGCTCGTCAGCCGCCTTGAAGTCGGGTCCTGTCATTATGGCATCAAAAGACGAGCATGAGCCCATGGATGTCACGCTCTTTGTAAGGGTGCTTTCGGCCATGGCTCTTGCCAACGTGCAACATGGGGACTGGAACAACGCTGTGCGCTGCGTGGATGTGGCCCTTGATCACGTTAAGGATCAGTCGCGTTTGGGAGGGCTGCTTGGGATGAAAGCCGGAATATTGGTTTACCAGAAAAAATACGAGGAGGCGGTGGAGTATGCAAACTTGGCCGTGGAGGCGTCAGGAAATATTCAGGGTTACATCCATGGAGCTTTTGCGCTGCGGATCTTGAAAAGGCCTGGGGAGGCAGTAAAACTTCTTGAGAAGGGGCGGGAACAACATCCAATGGACACCCAGCTTCTGGCGCAGATGGAAGGAGCGCAGAAGGAGTTGGAACAATTGGCTAAGAATGAGAAGAAGATGATTAACCCCTGAGGGAGGGATGCGAGAGGATAGGGAGAAGTATTGAAGAAGATTGGTTGTGATACAGAAAAGAAAAGAAAAGAGAGAGAGAGAGAGAGTGGAGTCCGGTTCTAGTTTTTTACATGCAGTTTTATTATTATTATTAATTTTCGTTGCTTTTCTCACCTACTCTCTCTCTCTCTCTCTCACTCACTCACTCACTCACACCCACCATCTAATTCTGTTGTGTGACCGAAGTGAAATGTGTCATTATAGGTGTCAGGTATTGTATTTACTTATCATCTTTAGTTGTGTTTGGTGTTGTTTTCTGTGTCCCCCTCGCCCTGTTC